TTTCAGAGTACCCTCAGGACTTCTTAAGGAAGGGAATTGTTTTATCAAGTGTATACCACAATGTCCATGTAAAAATGTTACCCAATAGTTCCATGGTTTTTCATTCTTGATTTTTTCCAGAATTTTGGGGAGAGTAAGATCCAGTGCTGGGGATTTATCAACGAAGTTTAATAGCATTTATTATCTATAACCCAAGTGGCTTGTAGCATATGGCAACTTGTACTATGTCTTATTTAATTTTAAACTAACATAGTATTCATTAATCATAGCAGGTTGAACCCAGGTGTATACTACTGTTAACTCACAGTATGTCACATTCAAGTAATAAAAAATAATAATAATAAAAATAAACCCACTGAAACAGCACAAACAGGAGAGGAGTACACAGGGGCACAGTTTCTTACATAAACTTAGCACCACTCTTTCTGTCTTCGAGCACTCCCTGCACCTTGGCTGATGAGTGTATGGTACCATCAAGTTTGGAGCCTTTGCAAAGTTCTGTGGCATAAATTGGTTTGCTTACCGCTGAATTTCCGTCACTGTAGACCAACAATTTGGCCTTGTTTTGTTGTTTAAGTTGGCATTCAGGATTCTACCAACTTTCCAGCTTCCAAAAGAGTTCCAATTTCTCATGTTTCATCTCCTCTACTTTTCTCTTTGCCTTATGGGTTTATGCTCTTTGTTTCTTTTCCACCATTTTAGTTAGGTATGTTATAAACATGGGTTCAATTTGCTATGTTTCAATGAAAGTCTTCTTTCCATTGCTCTCAATGATTTTGTGTGTGTCTCCCCAACGGATAGTGAACTCCAAGGAAATCACTGTTGAAGTGTTATTTATACATCGTGGTACAGTACCTTCCAAATAGGAGTTATACTGTTTGTGTTTATTACTGATTACCTTGAATAGCATGTACAAGTGTCTTTGGGGGTACACAAAAGACTTTTCAAGGACATTGGCAATTTCCAGGTCCTCAACTTCCATCTGTAACCTCTCCTAAAATTCATCTGAGAATGTCTGCAACCCAGGTATTGTACTGGCTTTCCTTTCTCTCTTCCTCTCTCACACTGTCTTTCTCCCTCTTTCACACACACACACCACCACCACCACCACCACCACCACACGTACATCTTTTTATTTATTTATTTATGGCTGCCTTGGGTTTTCGCTGCTGCGCACAGGCTTTTCCCACTTGCGGAGAGTGGGGGCTACTCTTCGTTGCGGTGCGCGGGCTTCTCATTGAAGTGGCTTCTCTTGTTGCGGAGCACGGGCTCTAGATGCGTGGGCTTCAGTAGTTGTGGCAAGTGGGCTCAGTAGTTGTGGCTCGCGGGCTCTAGAGTGCGGGCTCAGAAGTTGTGGTGCACGGGCTTAGTTGCTCCATGGCATGTGGGAATCTTCCCAGACCAGGGATTAAACCAATGTCCCCTGCACTGGCATGCGGATTCTTAACCACTGCACCACCAGGAAAGTCCCCACACCTAAATCTTTTTATGGCACAATTTTCCCAGGATGTATAAACCCACAGGACAGTATATAAAAATACAATTTGAAATATTACTTTGGGCCAATTTCTTTCAATTAAGGCACCATAACCCAAGGTCTGAATATGGATATATATTTGGCCTATGTCTCAATTTAGATATACTGTAGAGTGGGGGATGGGAGGAAGTAATGACAAATTTTTTTTTTTTGACTGCACGGTGCAGAATGTGGGGTTTTAGTTCCCCGACCAGGGATCGAAACCTCGTCCTCCGTCCTCTGCATTGGAACCACAGAGTCCTAACCACTGGACCACCAGGGAAGTCTCTAATGGCAATTTTTAATTAAAGACTTTGTCTCTTCCACCTGTTGTCAAAGACCTTTGCTGCTGAGGAAGAGTCCTGTGAAAGTAAAAAAAGCTAAGCTGAGAAATGTTGAATTAACTAATTTCTTCCTGCTAATGGCAGGTCTCCATGTCTTAACTACCTACCTTAGAACACTATTATACAAAATGTATAAGAAACCTACAAAGACAGCACCCAGATCATGGATTCTAAACACCATTCTCCAATTAAAAACCAGGGCAGGCCCCTTGGAGAAGTGGTTGCTTCCAAAGATGGGGCAAGGAATCCACAAGATGAACCCGGAACATCTTGTGGTCCCACAAAGTAAGGAAGTCCTAACAAAAAGATGAGGATTTGTTGAAAGAATGAAGGAGCCTACATGAAGGAACTCTTCTAATAGCCAAAGGTGTAAGAATTTGAGCAACAAAGCAACACTATTATTGAATTTTAACCCACAGAACAAAATAAACATCCAGGAGTCCACAGTACCATTGATTAAATGAATGGGGGAGAAGAGGCAGCTCTTCCTTAAGAGTATAATTCCAATTAGTGTAGAAGTAAAGAGGGAAATGGAAAATCACCATTTGCAAAACATCACAGTAATAATTGTTCTAGACAAGATCCACTAAAAGTAGTGGCTGACCGTAAGGACAATTTGCAAAGTCTCAAAGTATCTCCTCCAAGATATCTATCAACTAAAAGGGGAAAGACAGTAACTTTGCAATGGAGAAACCTGATGAAACCACCTTCACCAAGTAATCAAGGTCAACATCACCAATAATAAATGACTTATTGACATTGGGAATTCTTCATTTCTGTGATATTCTTCCAAAAAGCATAACATCAGTTCAGTCATGAGAAAACACTAGGCAAACCCAAATTGAGGGACATTAGACAAAATAACTGATCAATACTCTTCAAAAGTGACAAGGGCATGAAAGACAAGGAAAGACTAAGGAACTCAGCCTCAGACTTATAAGTAACTAAATGTACTTTCTGGGTAATATACTGGAACAGAAATAGAACATTACTGGGAAAGCTGATGAAATATGAGTAAGGCTTTTGACTTAATTAACAGTAGTTTATCAAATATTAATTTCTTGGTTCTGATCATTGTACTATGGTTATATAAGATGCTAACAGTAGGGGAAGCTAGGTGAGGTATACACGGAAATTGTAATATTTTTACAAATTTTCTGTAAATCTACAGTCAGTTCAAAATAGCAAGTTAGAAAAGTAAATAGCGGGGCTTCCCTGGTGGCGCAGTGGTTGAGAATCTGCCTGCCGATACAGGGGACACGGGTTCGTGCTCCGATCTGGGAAGATCCCACATGCCGCGGAGCGGCTGGGCCCGTGAGCCATGGCCGCTGAGCCTGCGTGTCCGGATCCGTAACGGGAGAGGCCCCAACAGTGAGAGGCCTGCGTACCGCAAAAAAAAAAAAAAAAAAAAAGTAAATAAAACCATGACTATAAAGTACACCTTCTCTGTATTTTTTTCCATTTCCAGTGCTAACTTGGCCTAATGTCATCTTTTGATCCCAAGACAAATTTCCTATATTATATACTCATACTAACAAATGTTTGTGGAGTGAAACCTATGATCTAATTATGTCTCCTTTTGATATGTTTGTGGTTGTGGTTGAGAAATAATACATTTATTACATTTGCCAGGGATTCAACATCCAGAGTTCTGCTTTTAGGCAGGATGGGGAGAAACTCTTTGGAAGTTACTCTCCACTTTGCCATTGATTCTGCTTTTTTGAGTAAACTGTGTGACTAGAATAAAGTTCCTGTCCTCTGTACTTTCCCAGGTATACCTTTTGACATCTGTAATAGTAAAAATAATTAGAATTTAAATGCTCTTACCATGTAAATGGATAAGAGGTGGCATTAAGTAAAACAGCAAAGAGATAAAAGCAGCTTATTAAGCTCATCAGCACAAACTGAGCTTTATTTAACTGCAAGTGATGTAACCTATGTACACATTTGTTTCCCTTCCAAGTTTAACTGCTAAAATTGCCCTTACAGAGATTACATTGTAAATTGTATTTCGTTAGTAATTTATTAAATTTGCCTGTCAATACATGTATGCCTATCATACACTGTATGCCTGTCATACATTCTGTATGGAGCCTTAAAATGATGTTTTGAGAGTTTATTTACAATCATTGAAAGCAACGGTTCTGTAAAACAGGTAATTACAGCTCTTTAAGCTCACAACATACATATATTTAAACATTTAAATAGAAGTCCATTTTCTTCAAAAGTAATTTTCTACTGCTTTTTCATAAAAATATAAAAAGACAACATCTGTAGTTTTAAAAAACCTATATTTAACCCAAATCAAGATTTTTCTACAAATGATACCTCTTTCCAAAAAGTTTAAAAGACATCACAAAATAATGTGATGTTAAACCAAATAATTTCACCATGGCCTGGTACTTTACTTTTAAGAAATACTGTGCAGTATTTCTTTTTAAATTTTCATGCTAGATTTCAACTGTGTATATGCTATGTCAACACACCAGATTAATCCAAGTCATTCATATTTATGCAGTAGACTGTCATATACGACCAGTTACCATATGAACTGTCATACCACAATTGCAAAATGGTAAAAGGCAATCTTTATGAAAACTTAATATTTTAGTAAAAGGCAACCAACATCACTCTAATTTTCTGTAAAAATTACCTCTCTTCCTCCTACCATTTTTTTCCCCTTTGAATGGTACCTTTTATAGCATATCAACACACAAAGGTATTTATATCACTTTTACTTAAGTTAGCTTTTTTTTTTTTTTTTTCCCCAGTACGCGGGCCTCTCACTGTTGTGGCCTCTCCCATTGCGGAGCACAGGCTCCGGACGCGCAGGCTCAGCGGCCATGGCTCACGGGCCCAGCCGCTCCGCGGCATGTGGGATCTTCCCAGACCGGGGCACAAACCGCGTCCCCTGCATCCGCAGGTGGACTCTCAACCACTGTGCCACCAGGGAAGCCCTAAGTTAGTCATTTTAAATGACTGTTTTCTTTTCTGATACAATGAATTTATCAAAAGGCACCAAGATTAGAGTCCTATGTAGTTTCAGAATTTTGTTCCTTTTTAAGTTCCTCTAGAATAATTTTTGTCATAAAAGGGTAACTTTAAGAACCAGAAGAAAATGAATGATACAACACAGTAACTTAAAACTTGTACCATCCAAAAGGTATAAATTTATTAATAGATTCCTTGAACTCTTCACTTAGGAGAAGAAGTCAAAACAACTTTCTGAACATAAACATAAAAATAGAGCACATTTATTAACAGTAGGAAAACTCTAAGCTTATAGAGTTATTAAATCTTACATAGTAACATACAGCCAAAAGCATTAGAAATTCACTGTCAGATAGATATTCTGATGCATTATCCTGAAAACATGTCTGATACATAGCACTAACATGTAACAAAGTATGGCATTTATTTCACAGGGAGAAAAGATAGGTTTCATCACAAAAAGATTTACTAGATTTCAGCTTTGATTAATTTTAGAGATATATTTTAAAGATAAAAAAAAACAAGATTCACCCCTAAAATAAAAAAGTCTTTATATATATAATCCCTTATTAATACTCTTTATGCTCTTACAATGTAAAACATTTAGAAACTTTTGAACTCTAAAAATTTTGATCAGTTAACCTATTTGGTCTTAACACATTCTAAATTCCCTTCTGAGAATCACATTAATGTTTTTAGTCCATCAGTCCAACATGGATGGAACAATTCTATTTCTTTTTCTTCTTCTTTGGTGGTTCATCCTCAGAGCTACTATTTGTGCTGCTGCTGCTGCTACTGGAAGAGCTGGAATCTGAGTCTGAATCTGAGGACGAGGAAGAGCTTGTGGAGGAGGCTGAAGATGATGAACTGGAGGAGCTTTCATCAGAGTCACTGTCCTCTGAGGAGGATGAGGTAGAGGTCTCTTCACTCTCTGACGAAGAATCACTGGCTGAACTGTCACTGCTATTGCTACTGGAACTAGTTACACTCTTAGACCTATTAGACAATTATATGCATGAGAAGCTGACATTTAATAGAATGTTTAAAAGCAATTTCACTTGAGTATTATGTATATATATATACTGAAGCTTCGCTAGCATGTTATCTCTAGATTTGATGTTTTGAGGATTGCCTAACTGTAATACCCCTACCGTGCTCACCCTGTCCCCCCAACCACAAGGTCTTTTACTACAGCAATTTAACTCTCTTGGATGGAGTCTGAGATAAGTGTACCTACTATACTATGCTCCAGAGTGAATGATGTTAGAATAAAGTTGCGGTTTAACAACTGCATGAGGTTTACTTAAACCTCATGTAGAGTGGCAAATGCTTCATAACCTTAACTACTTTATACCAGATACAGCTGGTCAGTAATTTCTTACCACTCTAATAACATTTCCTAATCTAAGACAAGAGAAATTACTTACTATTTCCAGGTATAAGGACTCTAGAAAGTTGGAGAAAAAGGATAAATGAAGGAAGAAACTCCAGATAGGTAAACAGAGGAACATATCAGAAAACAGGATGATATTTAATCATGAATTGCAAACAAGAGACTTCAGATCCAAATCTTTTAACTATTATTTTAAAATCACACACCCCATCCCTCCAACTAGTATTATATATTATCTATATAATACTAAAGCCACACATACCTTTTTTTCTTGGTCTTTCTTTCTACATTAGTTTCTCCAATGCTGATAAATGTGAAGGGGGGAAAAAGCTCCTGTTAATACAGTGATTATAAACAGCTCAAACGCTTCTGCTATCCCCAAAACTTTTTTCATTGGAGAAACACTTTGTCTTTTATAACATGTACTGAGAGTCCAGTATTTATTGCTATAATCAAGAGGAAAGTTTCCTGTTGCAGGTATATATGGTACATACAGTCAACTTAACCAGCACTTAAGCAAGACAAATGTTATCAACTGTACTTTAGAAGCGAGGTTAAGTTAGTAGTTAAGATGACCAAACGCACCAATTTGATTGTTTTTTAGTTTTTTCCCAACTCATCTATTTTATTTATTCATTCTTGGCTGCACTGGGTCTCCGTTGCTGTGCACAGGCCCTCTCCAGTTGCAGCAAACAGGGGCCACTCTTCTTTGCAATGTGTGGGCCCCTCACCATGGTGGCCTCTCCTGCTGCGGAGCACGGGCTCTAGGTGCGTGGGCCCCAGCAGCCATAGCACACAGGCCCAGTAGTTGTGGCTCACAGGCTCCAGAGCGCAGGCTCAGCAGCTGTGGCGCACAGGCACAGCTGCTCCGCGGCATGTGGGATCCTCCCAGACCAGGGCTCGAACCCGTGCCCCCTGCATTGGCAGGCGGACTTCCAACCACTGTGGCACCAGGGAAGCCCCTCTTTTTTAGTTTTGAACTTAGATTGACATGGCTAAATCGACTATTTAGTGAACAACAGAACAAAGCAAGTAATAGCACAACAGCTGTAATTTATAATTTGGGTTTCTAGAATGGTATTATAAATGGTCATTTCATATAAAAAAAAAGCAACCTTTACTTTAAAAAAACATTTCTTAATTGATTCACTTTGCTGTACACCTGAAACGAACACAACATTGTAAATCAACTATACTCCAATAAAAATAAAAAGTAAAAATAATTAAAAAAAAATTAAAAACTGTTTCTTGTGACTTCCTTGGCAGTCTAGTAGTTAAGACTCTGTGCTCCACTGCAGGGAGCCCGGGTTTGATGCCTGGTCTGGGAACTAAGATCCTGCACGCCGCGAGGAATGGCCAAAAAACAAAAACAAACAAACAATTTCTTTTTCTGCATGTCCCCCAAACGTTCAGTTATTTACTGCTTAAGAACCAGAGACTTAATACTTCAAGACTGTGTTCCCTCACATTATTTATAAAGAACAAAGTCTGGAGATTTCTGAGTGAAATACACAAATGGCGTGCTGCTATATAGCTGCCAAACAACATGCATACTAAATTAGGCTTTCAAATTACAGATTTACTTCTATTACTATATACTGTCCTGTAAATTTAACATTTTTATATTCTGAACTTCTCTATGTTTCCTAGATAACATTATATCCTTATTTCCTGGGTCCCCAAATATAAATATGTATTTATGTAAAGCTGTTTTACATGATGGAATTACTTACTGGAGAATTGTAATTTTTGCAGTAAAATAAGTGGTAGAAGTACATTTGTTAAGTCACACCACAAGAATGCAAGATCACTGAAATTCACACACTTCCATAATTTTATCATTGAACCAAAAAATCAGCAGTCTTTACGTAACAGAGCCAAAACCAAAATTCATGTAGTTCTATGTATTTTTAAGACCAAGATAGTTGTGTAATACAACTAGAAAAACAAAAGTAAATGTTGATATGAAATTATTCATAACTCTTATATTTTATTCTTTAGGACAGAGGTCTTCAAACATTTTTTGCTTACATTCCTAATAAAAGAAGTTTGAAAAATTATGTTTTTCCCCTCAAAGGGTATAAAGTCTGGCATATTATATATTAAATATTGGTATTTTAAAAAGAAAATCGTTACATCATTTTGGTAACTGTAAATACCATAAAATTGGATATGTATCATAATTAATTTTAAAAAAATAAATGAACAAGCTTATCTTTAACAACTGGTACTTTTACACTGTCCCTTTTCCTCTTTGAACTTGAATTTTTATTCTCCTTTCCCCACAGAATGTATCTTAATATATTTTCATGCCTGAAAATTTTAGTGATCACTTACATTTCTCTGCAGTAAAAATATACACATAACTTAATATTGTATCTTTTAATTACTTGTGATCATAAGGTTTTAAAAGTGTTTAAAAATTCTGAGTTGAATTACCATTATCATTACTACTATAAAAATTGATTAAAACAATGTAAAATATATTATAAATTTTAGTAACTATTATACATAAAAAAATTTCACTGGAACTGTACCTCTTAATGAAATGGATTTTTTTTTCTAGCTTATGTATCCATGGATCTTATTGCTTGACTATGACAGGGTTCAGTATCAATTTAATTCCTATATTTAACTTTTACAGATTTAACCCTGAGAAAGCTTGTTAACCTGAACAGGTAGATGGGAACAGAAAGAGTTTTGCTGTAGCAATGTCACTCAGTTCTCTGAATTCCTCCCATGTTATATTCCACAAGTTACGTAACGATGTATCATTAAAATATACTTTTAAATTGACAACTCAATTAGATCCTCCTTCAATATTGCTGGGAAAAAAAATTACAAAAGAACTTGCTCCCAATACTTTAGGCCTTTTACTTTCTTACAAACACCAGTATTTTGAAAAGTCTCTAGGATTTTATACATGAGCACAATATACCAAGGTAAGATTAGAGATAGGCGAGAGGTATGCCTTTCTTTTGTGAAATTAGAGAAGGGTAGGCAAGGTCTCATACAGATTTATCTTTGGAAGAAACATATATGAATATTGATAATCTAGAAACTGATTACCTGTCTTCCTGTATAACCCTTGAAGAGTCTTCCTGTCCACAAACTGGAAGACTGTTGCCTGGAAAATCCAGATGTTTAAGACACTATTATATTGCTAACGGTCCTCATGAAGGTGCTACTTCTAATATGCAGCACTAAGTAGACCTGACACCTCCCTGTTTCAGTTTCTCTGAAACACATAAGCTTACTTACTTCATGGGAATTTGAAAAGCTTTATTCAAAGGGCGTAAAAGGATAAATAACAATTTTTCCCTCCTACCCAGTTCTCCTTCTAGAAAAGAACCACTATTATCAACCATTTATATTCCCCCCCCAAAAAAGCTCCATTATTCCTTTTTTCTTCCTTTTTAACATAAATAATAGTATATTATATATACTGTTCTCTACCTTGTTTATACACTTAGTATAAGTATCTTGGGTACTTACTTTGGATATCTTTCCATATCAGTTCATATAATCTACCTCATAGTATTCTGCTGTCATTTCATTGGCAGTTGAGGCAAGAAAAGCAAACTGATTAAGAGCATGGACTCTGGAGACTGGCTAGTTGGTTTAACACTTAACTTTTCCACTTACTTGCTGTGTGACACTGAGCAAGTTACTGAATCTCTCCACTCTGGAGACTGGTTAGTTGGTTTAACACTTAACTTTTCCACTTACTTGCTGTGTGACACTGAGCAAGTTACTGAATCTCTCCATGCCTCAGCTTCTTCATATGTAAAATGGGATTATAATAGTACTTACCTTAACGGTATAGATGTGATGGTGAAATAAGCTAATAATTGTAAAGACCTTAGTACGGTGCCTGGCACACAGTAACACTCATTAAACATTAGCTAATATTACAATATAATCTAAATCTGGATAACCACCATAAGATATTTAGTCCCTTAATAAATTTTATAAATACAAATAAATATTCCTTTGGATACCATATGTAACCTTACCTTTGCTGTAATAATAATCTGTTTTCTTTTTCTTTTAAAGCTTTCTTTAGTTCTGCTGTTCTTGAAGGCCTATGTAGGTACTTTCTTTTTCCTGTGCATTCATAAGTCCAATGCCCAAATTCCAAGCATTTCTGACATCTTACATGTTGTTTATTTGCTTCACTGCAGAGTAAAAAATAGAATACAGGCCTTAAATTTTTGACCTGACATTATGAGAAACATAAACAATATAAGCATAAAATGATGTTTATGTAAAGGTACAATCCAAAAATAAGCATCATTTTACACTTTAAATTATTTGTTAGATTTAATTACAAAGCAATATAGTAAGTGGTTAAAAGCATGGACCTGGGAGTTAGACAGAACTGAGTACAAATCTTCTTTCCTCGATTCCATTCCAGTAATGGCAGACTAGGTAACTCAGACCAACTCTTCAGCTCAGAACTAGAAAAGACAGTCAAAACATTTTTAACAATGTGCTCGAGGTATCAGAGAACTAACAAGAAATTAAAGAATAACCAAGCCGGGCTTCCCTGGTGGCGCAGTGGTTGAGAGTCCGCCTGCCGATGCAGGGGACACGGGTTCGTGCCCCGGTCCGGGAGGATCCCACGTGCCGCGGAGCGGCTATGCCCGTGAGCCATGGCCGCTGAGCCTGTGCGTCCGGAGCCTGTGCTCCGCAACGGGAGAGTCCACAGCAGTGAGAGACCCACGTACCGCAAAAAAAAAAAAAAAAAAAAAAAAAAAAAAAAAAAGAATAACCAAGCCAAGATATGGCAGAAGCTGGAAATCCAGAGGGGTCAGTCCTACGTTTAAGTCAACACTTGTGCTGGGGTTTTTTCCCAACTCAGGAGGGTAAGCAAGCATCACTTATAAGGAGCAAGGGAGACAAATTATGCATTCAGAGTTGGGACTCTGAAGGGCTTTACTCTAAGAATAAAGCAACTGCTTATCAAGTGCAGCCCAGCTTCTAGTCACCTAGGAGACTAAGAAAAATCTCAGTCCCTGAAATTGAATTAAGGTGTAGCAAGTGAAGAAAAATAGATAAAGGAATTAGAAAGGAAGAAATAAAATTGTCATTCCTTACTGATGATGTATCATGTAAATGGCAAATCCAACAGACTCTACAGATAAAAAAACTTTTTTTTGGCCCTGCCATGCGGCATGTGGGATCTTACTTCCCCAACCAGGGATCAAACCCTTGCCCCCTGCATTAGGAGCGTGGAGTCCTAATCGCTGGATTGCCAGGGGAGTCTCAAAACATTTTTCAATAATTAGAATTCATAAGTGAGTTTAGGAAGGTTTTATATTGGGGTCAGTAAACTTTGTCCATAAAGTGTCAGAGAGTCAATATTTTAGGCTTTGCAGACCAAGAGGCAAAATTTAAGATATTACAAAGGTATTTATATCACAAGAGAGAAAACAAATTTCTACAAATATTTTATTAATGAAAATATTTCAAATAAAAGAGGTTTATTAATGAGAAGAATGGAATTCTTTTCTATAAGATAACATTTCACTCAACTGAGGTTCAAAATTAGTGTTCTCTATCATCAAATTGATCATATATATACAAACATATGTAAAAAGCATTCTTGGTTTGCAAGCCTACAACAGGCAGTAGGCAGGATTCAGTGGACTATAGTTTGCCAAACTTTCTATTAGATATTAGGTCAACACATAAAAATCAATTGAGTTTCTACTTAACAAAAACAGTTAAAAATAAAATTTTAAAAGGTGGTATTTATGGGCTTCCCTGGTGGCGCAGTGGTTGAGAGTCCGCCTGCCGATGCAGGGGACACGGGTTCGTGCCCCGGTCCGGGAAGACCCCACATGCCGCGGAGCGGCTAGGCCCGTGAGCCATGGCCGCTGAGCCTGCGCGTCCGGAGCCTGTGCTCCGCAGCGGGAGAGGCCACAACAGTGAGAGGCCCGCGTACCGCAAAAAAAAAAAAAATGGTGGTATTTATAACATCCTGAAAAATAACAAGCACTTATAAATAAGTGAAAGAAAATATGCACAAGAATTCTATGCAGAAAACAAACATTACTGAGAGAAATTAAACATCTAAATAAGTAGCTAAGTAAAAGGATTACCATGTTCATAGACTGAAAGACTCAATATTGTAAAAACTGTCCATTCTCCCCAAACTGATCTATAGATTCAAAACAATGCCAATCAGAATCTCAACAGGTGTTTGTTTGGTATGGAACTTAAACTTATTCCCTAAAGTGTATATGGACATTCAAAAGGCCAAAAATAGCCAAAATACCCTTATAAAGGAACAAGTAGGGAAGACTTAGATTAAAAGAAATTGACTTGTGGTGATCATTTTGTAATGTACGGAAATACTGAATCTCTTTGTTGTATACCTGGAACTAACGTAGTGTTGTAGGTAAATGATATTTCAAAAACAAACAAAAAAATCATAAAAAAAGAGTTCAGATTTGTGGTTAACAGAGGTGGGGGATAGGGGGAGCAGCAACCAGATGAAGGTAGTCAAAGGTACAAACTTCTAGTTATAAGATAATAAGTACTAGGGATGTAATGTACAACATGATTAATGAAATTAACAGCTGCATGTTATACGTGAAAATTGTTAAGAGAGTAAATCTTAAGAGTTCTCATCACAAGAAAAAAACTTTTTTTCTTGTGTTTCTTTAATTTTGTATCTGTATGAGATGATGGATGTTCACTAAACTTATTGTTAACGGTGACTTCATGACGTATGTAAATCAAATCATTATGCTTAAACTTACACAGTGCTGTACGTCAACTATATCTCAATAAGACTGAAAGAAAAAAATAAAAGACAGTGACTTATGATACAGCTATAATAACTAAGAATGTGAGATTGGAGCAAATATATACAAATATGCCAGTGGAACAGAACAGAATGCCCAGAAATAGACTAATGTATACATGAACAATTTATGACAACCATGGCATTAAAGAGCAGTGGGGGGAAAGGTTAGATGATAAATGATGTAGGGACAACTGGTTATGCACATGGTAAGAATGGTAAAAACCATAAGCCAACAATGATTACAAACTTGGTCAAACAATAAGGTTTAAAAGATAGTATAAAAAAAGTGACGTATTTGAGTTAAGAATTCTTAAAAAACAAAAAAAAAGCACTAAGACTTCCCTGGTGGCACAGTGGTTAAGAATCCGCCTGCCAATGCAGGGGACACAGGTTCGAGCTCTGGTCCGGGAAGATCCCACATGCTGCGAAGCAACTAAGCCCGTGCGCCACAACTACTGAGCCTGCACTCTAGAGCCCGCAAGCCACAACTACTGAGCCCATGTGCCACAACTACTGAAGCCCGTGTGCCTAGAGCCCGTGCTCTGCAACAAGAGAAGCCACCGCAATGAGAAGCCTGCGTACCGCAATGGAGAGGAGCCCCCGCTCATCGCAACTAGAGAAAGCCTGAGTGCAGCAACGAAGACCCAACGCAGCCAAAAATAATAAATAAATACATTAATTTTTAAAAAAAGCACTAATCATAAAAGATGGATAAATTAGAATTACTAAAATTAAGAATTTTCAAAAATTAAGAATTTCTGTTCATCAAAATATACTATAAAGAGAGTGAAAAGAGAAGCCAAAGAGTGGGAGAAGATATTTGTAACACATTTTGCCAACAGCTTCATCTTAAGTAAACAAAGAACTCTTATGACCGATTCACTTTGTTATAAAGCAGAAACTAACACACCATTGTAAAGCAATTATACCCCAATAAAGATGTTAAAAAAAAAAAGAACTCTTATGAATCATTAAGGAAATTATGTACAATAGAAAAATAAGATAAAGTGGAAGATGGAAAGGCAGTACAAAAATGGAATTGGGAAACAAATTAATAAAAACATGAAAAGGTACTCATTACTAACCTAAGAAAAAGCAAAAACCACTATAGTTGAAGAAATGCATACTCTACAGTCCAGCAATTCCACTTGCAGGTACTTACACAATAGAAATCTACAAAAAACTATACCAGATAACATGTGTAAGAATATTGGAATATTGCTTCCCTTTATGTAGCTTTTAAAAGTTTTGAAATAGTCACAACCTTATAGAAAAGCTGTTAAGTACAGTTCAAAGAACTATTTTTCCTAAATCATTTGTGAACTGTTTTTGCTGAGCCATTTGTAAGTTGCCAACCTGATGCCTCATCAAACCAGAATACTTTACTGCATGTTTTCTATAAATTAGGACATTCTCATATACACAATGTAACCATCAAAATCAAGAAGTCAATGTTGATACCTTCAAGATCCCATTTAAGTTTAATCTTCAGACCCCATTTAAGTTTCATCAAATATCCCAAAAACATTAGCAAAATCCAGTTCTGCATCAATGTTGCACATGTTGTCATGTCTCTTTAGTCTCCTTCTTCTGGAAGAGTTCCTCAGTCCTGTGTCTTGCTTTACATGACCTTGACACTTTTTGATGATTACAGCCAGTTATTTTGTAGAATGTGCTTCAATTTGAGTTGGAGGATTTGCTTCCAAGTTCACTCATGTGGCTAACGGGAGCCTTCAGTTCCTCGCCTGCTGGCCTCTCCATAGGGCTGCTTACAACATGGATTTACCCAGGGAGAGTGACCAAGATAACTCAAGAAAGAAGTCAGTCTTTTATCACCCAATCTTGGAAATGACATACCATTACTTTTGCTATATTCTACTGGTCATACAGACCAACTCTGGTACTCTCTGCAAGAGAGTACACATGAAGCAGGGATCAACTGGAGATCATCTTGGAGGCTGGCTACAACATCTGATATCTCTATGATTAGATTCAAGCCATGTATTTTTGGCAGGAATATAACAGAAATGTGCCGTGTTCTTCTCACTGTATTCCTGTCAGGTGACACAAGACTTCAGTTTGTCTTGTTACTGATGATGTTCGTTTTGATCCCTTCATTATGGAGGGTCAACCAGATTTTGCAATATAAAGTTATTTTTTGTCCTTTTGTAATTGAGGTGGTTTTAAATTATGTCCACAAATTCTATGATATCCTTACTTCAAGGGTTGGAGCCTAACTACCCTCCCCTTAAGTGTGGCTAAGACTTAGTGACTTGCTTCTAACTAACAGAATAAAGCAGGGTGATGGAGCGTGACTTTAAAGACTAGCTCATGTAGCTGCCATGTCATGAAAACACTCAAGCAGCCTCTAGGGAGGCCCACGTGGTGAGGAACTGAGGCTTCCTGCCAACAGCCTTGTGAATAGCTATCTTGGAAGCAGATCCTCCAGTTGTGGTCGTCTTCAGATGACTGCAGCCCCTGGCAACATCCTGACCACAAACATGTGGGGAGAACCTAAGTCAGAACCACTCAGCTGGGACTTCCCTGGTGGTCCAGCGGTAAAGAATCCGCTTTACAATGCAGGGTACGCGGGTTTGATCCCTGATTGGGGAACTAAGATCCCACATGCTGCAGGGCAACTAA